GTCTTTAAATGTCAAACAAAACAAATCAAAACCCCCACCTCAAATAGAGGAGAGATGGAGAGGAAGACCACTAACATTTGCTGAGTGTCAGCTGTGCTGCTGTCATTTTTACCCATTTCTCTTTTTAATCCTCTCCACAATCCTCTGAGGGATATCATTATATCCCTTCACTGATGAAACACTAAGGCCCAGCGAGGTTAAGTAATTGCCCTGGGTCATGTGACAAAGAAGTGGAGGCAATGGATTTCAAACCCAGGGCCATATGGTTCTAAAGTTCATGCATTTTCCGTGACCAAACCCTGTCTTCTGGGCAAGATTTAGTTTCTGAAGAAAACACAGTCCCCTGAACACCAAAACTTGAAGCAGAGGACATCTCTGCCTGAACTGAGGCCAGGTTCAGGAAGGCACTTACTCAGCCTTCACGAATCAGCATGTGACAAGCAGCTGAGAGTGACCGCCTCAAAAGAGAACCATGAAGGGAACTAGGTCATCATCAAGATCAGTCGGCCACAGCAGCCCATGCACTGATGCAGAAACTTCCAGGTTAGGTAGAGAGGGCTGCTGAAAGGTGAACAGGGCTGGAAAAGTCTCCTGATGAAACAGCTTTGGTTTACCTGCATGTGAGGCAATCACAAAATAACAATGGCCTAAACAAAATAAAAGTTGTTTTTCCCTCCCTGAGACAAAGCTAGGAGGTAAAGCAATTCTAAGCTGGTGCCTCTACAATCATCAAAGACAGAGCATCTTCCATGTTGTTGCTTCACTATCCTCATGGTCATCATGGCCCAAATGGCTGCTTGTGCTCCAGCGATCACCTCCATACTCCAAACAGCAAGAACAAGACATACCTCCTTGCTATTAGGCAGAACTGACTTACATGGCTTCACTCGCAAGATTTCTGAGTGGAGCAGCCCATGGGCAGTTATCCACACGTCTGGGTCTCTGGAGAAAGAACAAAGTTTGAGTTTTGTCAACATAGAGGTGGCAGCTCTGGTCATGACTGGACTCCCTAAGGAGAGAGTGCACAGTGAGGAAAGAACCCCACTGAGGCTTGCAAACAAGGATGGGGGTCGGAGGTGAAGTCCATGATAGAGGGAAATATCAAGGAGGAAATTTGCAATCAGTAGTTCCCAGATAAAAGTGAGGCTGCTTAGGAGTGACATCATGGAAAATGGCAAAAACCTCCAAGAACTGGTCCCTCTACTTAAGCAACCATAGAGCTGGCAAAAAGTGACAGAATCAGCTTTTTTTTGAACTCTGGAATCCAATAACAAGATACTTAGAGCAACCAGGGGACTATTAATGAAGAAAGAGCCTGCAGGTTTTCAGTAAGAAAGGACTGCTGCAGCTTTGCGTACCTGCCTACTATCTCCCATCCCTCAGCTCAACAGCAGCCTTGGGGACAACAGCCCAAATTCTTGGTGTGACTTGCTAGTGCCAGGGTGGGCCAGGGTGGGCAATATGGACCTTGTTCACAGACACATTGTCATGCATTTTGACCTAGCTGGCAGTTCACTGAAGGAGGGTGCAGAGACTAACCTTTGCTTCACTCCCTCCACTGCAGCACCTTCCCAGATGGCATCTGTTGAAAGCATTTAAAGACATACAGTGCATATACAGCTGTCTGGGGCAAGGAAGGACAGATGGGGTAAGCAGCAGACAGTCCACGAAGCCTGGGAAGGAGGAGGCAAAGGAGGAAGATACCTGGGGGAATAAGGGCTTTGAAGGGCTACTTCACATACCAGGAATCCAGGCTGCAATACATGTGCCCAGGGCTGGACCTGGGAGGACCCTAGGCTTGCATCTTTAGCTGATCTCTGGGCTCCATACAAGCAGGAAGTAAAGGCTAAGGTATAGGTGGTCTGGCTAAGTGCAACAGGAGTGACCAGCTCAGAGCCAATCTGGAAAGACCAAGAGAGGTTTCTTTTAGTTTTGTTTATGTTGTTCCAGGTGGCTAAGGAAGTCTGTGTCCAGTCAGTGGCTGACCAATGAGATAATGAAACAGAGACAGCAGTGACTACACATCATAAGGAATACAGTCAGCAAAAATAGTTTGGGAATATCATTAAACAGACGGCTACAGCTCTTAACAAGCAATAACTGTAAACATTGTGAAGGGGCATGATATCTGATTTCCAGATGTACCACATCACAATATTCAAATGTCCAGTTTTCAATAAAAAATTACAAGGCATATAACAAAAATGAAAAGTATGACTCATTCATTGGAAAAAGAAATCGACAGAAACCATCCTGGGGTAAGCATAGACACTGGACTTGCTGAGACAAAGAGTTTATACGAACTGTCTTAAATATGCTCAAATAGCTAAAGAGAACTGGACAAAGGACTAAAGCCAGAGAACAATCAATGTGTAAACAGAGCATGTCAATAACAAAATGAAAATTATTAAAAGGAACCAAATAGAAATAATTCTGGAGCTGAAATATACAATAGTTAAAATGAAAATTTTGAAAAAATTAACAAAACTGACAAATCTTTAGCTAGACTAAGAAAATAAGTAAAATCAGAAAGTAAAGCAAGGCATTACTATGACACTTGCAGAAAAACAAGAGATTATAAGAGAATACAATGAATAATTGTACACCAACAAAGTAGGTAACCCAGACAAAATGGACAAATTCCTAGAAACATGCAAATTACCAAAACTGAGTCAAGAAGAAATAGAAAATCTGAGCAAACCTACAAAGAGTAGATTGAGTCAGTGACTAAAAATCTCCCCAAATGCAGGAGCAGATGGCTTCTCTGGGTGACGTCTACAAAACCTTTAAAGAAGAATTAACACCAATCCTTCTCAAACTCTACCAAAAAATAGAAGAGGGAATATACTTCCTAATTCACTTTATGAGTCTTTATGTTCCTCATTAGGGGCTGGAATTCGACTTCTCAATAAAGTGCAACACTAAAATTTCCCCAAACAGCAAACCTGTTGGTCAGTCCTTTCTCAGGGATTTTGCAGAGAGTGTTTATCCATCAGTTAGAGTTGGAGTTTGTGACCCTCAAGTGTCCTTTCCTTTTTAAGAGCTATTATCTTATAATTCTGTTAATTTTAATTAATTTCTCGACTTTATCAGAGATCACTATTTGTATCACTATCTTGTCTGTCAATAATACTGGCCTGTCCCATTTCCAACTTGGATTAATTTGCATTAAAAAGCTTTTAAAAATATTTGGTTTTTCCCATTTGTCCATGGCCAGTTGACTTTTGACAAGGGGCCCAAGACCATTCAATGGGGAAAAGACAGTCTGTTCAACAACTGGACATAGTGCTCGGACAACTGGATATCCACATGCAAAAGAATGAAAGTGGACCCCTTTCTCATACCGTATGCAAGAATTATCTCAAAATGGATCAACCACCTAAAAATAAGTGCTCAAAGCATAAAACTCTTAAGAGAAAACATGATTTTGGATTTAACGCAGATTCTTAGATATGACACCATATACACAGGCAACAAAAGAGAAACAGATAAACTGAACTTCACCAAAATTAAAGGAATGTTTTTTTTTAAAGAACATTGTCAGAAAATGAAAAGATAACCCACAGAATAGGAAAAAATATTGCAAATTATGTATGTGATAGGGTCTGTTATCTGGGATATATAAAGAACTCTTATCATTCAACAACAAAAAGCTGAATTTAAAAATGGTCAAAGAACTTGAACAGATATTTCTCCAAAGAAGATAAACAAGCGACCAATAACATGAGAGATGCTCAACATTACTAGTTAATAGGAAGAAACAAAACAAAACCAGAATGAGGTACCCCTTCATACCCACTGGGAAGGCAGTAATAATAATAAAATAATAATAATAGCACTTTAAAAAATGGAAAACAAGTATTGAAAGATGTGGAGAAATTGGAACTCTGTTCATTGCTAATGAGAATAAAAATGGTTCAGTCTCTGGGGAAGACAGTTTGACAGTTCCTCAAAAAGTTAAACATAAAATTTCCATATGATCAAGCAATTCAACTCCTTGGTATGTACCCAAAAGAACTGAAAAAGGTACTTAAAATATATCTACATGCATGTTTGTAGTAACACTACTGACAATAGCCAGCCGAAAGGTGGCAAGAGCCCGGATGTCCAGTAATGGATGAACAGATAAACAAATTGTGGTATATACATACAACCGAATATTATTCCTAAAATAGAAACAAAGTATTAGTACATGCCACCATGTGGGTGAACCTTGAAAACATTATGCTAAGTGAAAGAAGCTAGACACAAAAGGGCACATATGATATGATTGCATTTATATGAAATGCCCAGAATAGGTATATCCATAGAGATATAAGTAGATTGGTGGGTGTGAAGGGCCGGGCGCTGAAGAAGATAAGAAGAAACTGTTTAAGGGGTAGGATTTTATTTTGGAGTGATGTAGTGTTTTGGAACTAGATAAAGGTGGCTGGGATTGCACAGCACTGTGAGTGTACTAACTGGCACTGAATTGTACACTTAAAAATGGTTAATTTTATGTTATGTGCATTTCAGCTTAATTTTTTTTAAGTGAATTTACAAAAAAAAGGCAGATTATTGACAATCTCAACTCATGCTCTGGACCCCAAATCCTGGAATCACAACTTCGCAGGCCGATTATCACGTTATCATGGTAGACTGCATCCCTGTTTCAATTGTAGCTGGAGCTCGGAAGCTCTAGAAAACACCAGAAGATTCTCACGGAGCTAGCTCACACGGGGCGCAGAGCTCCATCAGGGTGAGCGAACCCCCAGGGATGCGCAGACACGGGGACTGCAGTACCACAATGAGACTGCCCATGAAGCCCACGCGCTACGGCCCCGTGGCGCCCCTGACAGCAGGCGCGGGCCCACTCGGAGCCCAGGGCCCAGTGCCGGTTCAGGTTCAACCAGGCGCAGGATCCTAAACCCGGCCGGCCTGGGACTGGAAGGTGGTGTCGCCCACGGGGCGGAGAATGGGCGGGCCCAGGGGCGGGACGAGAGCGGGCTGCCGGGGGCGGGGCGGGGGCGGTCCCGAGACCGGAGCGGGGCCGGGGAGGAGTCTGCGCCGGCGCCGGGAGGGCCTGGCGCTGGGCCAGGCGCGTAGACACTGGCGAACGCCGCTGCTGAGCAGGTGAGCCGAAGGGGATGGGGTCGCGCGGCCAGGGCCTGTGCCTGCAGCGCGTAGGGGCGGGGTGGAACCGCGACCCGCGAGCCGGGCTCTGCCGTCCGCACGCCCTCGCCCGGCCGGGCGACCCCCGGCCCCGGGGCTGCGGATCTTGCGAGGCGGCCCCGGCCTCTGCGGTCGGCAGGGGCAGAAGGGGCAGCGAACCCGGCCCTCGGGCCTGCATCCGGTCCGAGGGGTGGGCGCGGCGCGGGCAGTTAATGCCAGGGCTTTTAAAGGCGCAGCGCACGTGGGTCCGGGAGACTTGCGGACCCGGCATCTGCCCCTCCTTGGCGGCTGGTGCCTCCTCGGCGCCCAGTGCCGCCGGCCTACGGCCCCAGGCTCTGGGCTCCGCCCGGCCGGGGTCTTCTCGCGTCTGCAAGGAACCTGACCACAGTTGTGGCCTGAAGCTGGCAATTCCGTTATCAGCGTGTTTGGCTGTTTTATCAGGCATTTACAGCTGTGGGGGAGACTCCCAGCATAAAGCTTTGAAGCTGAAGGGACCTGAAACAGAAGCTAGCACCCAACCCCAAATTTTATCTATGAAGAAACCCAGCCCATAGAGCTAAAGTGACTTTGTCCAAGGTCGTCGAGGTAGGCTACAGCAGAGCCAGGCGTAGAACCCATCATCCTGGCCCCTAGGTCTGCTGTCTAGTCCTGGGACCAGACCTCAGTCCTTTGTCAGAAGGATGAAATGCTCCTGTTGACTTAACCTATATTCCCTTTTTAAGGTGTGAACTGTTGATTGGTGGACTAAGTTCATCCCCATTTGCAGATGGAGAACCTGAGGTGGACATCCAGAACAATTGCAGAGCAACTTAACTAAAAATTGACAGCCTGGGCTGCCAAGCCTGGCCTGAGAGCAGCTTGATCAGAACATGTCTTGGCTTCCCATTTGAATGCCCTAATGTCTGCATAGTCCATGCTGTAGAACCTGAGCCCCCAGTGCCTGCAGCTAAGACTTTTGGCAGCACTTAAAGGCTCTGAATAAGCTGTTTCAGGTGTGTGAGCCTCAGGTTCCCCTCTGTGTAAATGTGGCTGCGTGGGAGCAGGGAAACGTGTCCACAGCTGTGCTTTCTGGGCCAACAGGCCAATGGGCCAGGTGTCCTGGCTCTAGCTCAGAGCTGCAACTTCTGCCACCCATTAGGTAAGGGTAGGATATCCAGGTTCAAGCCTTAGGTGCATGAATGGGCATTTAGAACATGGGCTGGAAACGGGGATGTAGAGGAATGTTGCTGCACAGTGAGATGGATGTTGTTTCAGGCTTTTAGGGAAAATTCTCTATCATTTGGTGTTGAAGTACTTGTGCACCAAGTCTAGAATCTTACTGGGTGCATGTAGGGGAGACGAATGCCCCACCCCTATGTGAGAAAGAGGAAGAAAAGGAATAGCCTGGCCGGAGGCTGCCATTCAGCTGTGCCCAGAGCCTGGTGCAGGTTGTCATGCCTGTCACTCCCTCGGCTCCTCTGTGGCTGCTCATAGTCCCACAGGGCACACACGGTTTGCCAAAGGACAGATTTTCCTACCCACCTTGGCCTCTTAAGTTATTGACGATGACATGCCTGACTTCACGAGTTTGTCTTATACAGTAAAAAACCTTTTCATACAGTAGTTATCACAGTTATCTTAAGAGCTTCAGTCACACTAAAGTGGCTGTTATTTTTACTTTTCCAGAGGGGGTAAACGGCTTGTCCTGCCATGTGCCTTTGATGTCTGTGGGCACCAGGATTTGAACCCAGCTCGCTGTGTCCTCTTAATCTTATGAGGTTTTATACAGGAGGCTTTCACATTTGCCCCTACCCACATCCCTGTGCAACTATGCAGGAAATTTCTAGGCGGTCCCTATTAACTACCTGACAAAGAAAAAAAAAGTTTTTAAAGAAGCCAAAGCAATGTGTGTGTGTGTAGGTCACATGCATGTTTCTGCTGAAGACATCTCTGGCTGGTTTCCAGCTATTGCTTTGACTAGTTGGGGACAGGCTAGACAACAAATGCTTCTGCAAATATTCCCACCTGTTCCCCAACTCCAGCTGCTGGGGAGAGCTGGGAAAGGGATGTCAGGGCTCCAAGGCTGGCATGCCCTCCAGGCTGCCGTGGGCCAGGGTCTGGGAGGCCCTCCTCGGCTTGAGCTGGCTGGATCTGACGTGGGCTTCAGGCCTTCTACCATCGGTGTTGGTCTCCAAGCCTGGAGGTGGCAAGGCTGCTGTATTAAAGTCTGGGGAAAGAGTAATTTCAAATCAGTCCTCAGGAAAGACTTGATATTGGGGAGGGAGATCATTTTTGTCCAACCTCTTTCTTGCCTGGGAAAATGTGTTCCTCAGTCATCTTTGACAAAATAATAGTCTTCTGGAACATGGGAAGAAAAATTGAGAGGATGTTCACTCGCCTGTCTGATGAACCTAAACCAGAAACTTCATGCCTTTTTAAAAGGAAAGGAACACATGCTCATTCTAGAATATTTAGGAAATATCTTACTAAAAGTATCCGTGAGCCCTTGGCCCAGAGAAAACCACTGTTAACATGTATTTCCATTAGCATTTCATACTCATATACATATTCATCTAAAATAGAAGCAGGAAACTGGAGATGAAATTGTGTCCTGTTTTTTATGCTAATGTTATGCCCTCAGAATTTCCCCTCACTAGGTATCTGCGGATCCAGATTGGGTGGGTGTCTGGAGCGTTCGAATGTGCCATTGTTTTTATCACCAGTGATACAGCAGGACGCTTTCCCACTGTCCCTCTTGAACTGCCCCACAGAGACAGTGCTCTGACTCCTGCCCCCATGCCATGCCCACATGGGAGCCACACCCCCCATGGAAAGCGCTAGCAGCAGCAGAGACCAGAGTAGGTGCCCAGGCTGGAGTTGTGGGATGGGGGCAGGAGAGAGACTTCATTGAGTTTTTTAAGGTGGCAGGTGATCTGGTGAATGAGTGGCAAGGCATTTTTAATTCAGTGACCTCTTGTCTGTTTTGGAGAAGCTACATGTTAAAGAAAAGTCACATACCTGCCCATAGCACATGCTATATAAATGTGGGTGTGCACCCAGGAGGCCCACATGGAGTGCTGCATGGGCTGCCTGTGTGACCGTGGCCCTGCGCCCCTGAACATGTGATTCTCCCCCCCACACACACACACAAGCTGCCCTGAGCACTGTGAGTGGGCAGGCAGTTTGGAGACCTGAGTTGTAACTGTCGCTCTTTGTCACTGGACTCTGGTTCCTTTTGTCCTCTTGGACTACAGTTTTGTTAATGCTAAAATAGGGCTCCGACTCTATGGCAGGGTCCTTGACAGCTCTGACATTGGTTTGACAACATGTTCACATTGCCAGCCATGGGCTAGGCTAGGTGGAAACATGAGGGCTCCCTAGGGCCTGGATGATAGCTCCACTTGATAGCTCAACTTGTGTGTCTGGTGGTTTAGCGGAGGCAGAACTTTCCAAGAAGGGCATCAACAGGCTCCCACATGCGCTCTCACTGCCTGCCTGCCTCTTTTTCATCTTCACTGTAACCACTGTTTATTGAACACCTGCTGCGTGCCAGGCACTGCACACGTTCGTTCTCTCTCATGTTTATAGTACCCTTGCTAGGTATGCCTATACTGCTTTGTTCAGAAGAGAAAACAGGCCATGTGAAGTTAAATAAATTGTCCTAGGCCATGCAGCCAGGGAATAGTGGTTCAGGTCACATAGCAAGGTGATAGGAACCCAGTCAGTCTCCAGAGCCTCAGCTTTTGACCACTGGCTTGCTGCTTCTATTTAGAAAAGAATTTTTTTTTCTGGGCCCCACTTGAAGATGACCTGTTAGGGGCATGCCTGTGTGACTGCCTTCACAGCATCCCTCTGCCACTTCCCCCTAGTTGCCCCCTTTCCAGGCTGCCTCAGGAAATGAGCAAAGTTCACCTGAGTCTTGGGCATACCCATGCAGGCAGCAGCAGACAGAGGTCAATCTAGGGCCAGGGCCAAGACTCAGGAGGGCAGTCAGGGTCCCCTGGAGCCTCTAATCTGGGAGAGTGGGGTGTTCTTCAGAGCCTCCCTGAGGGACTTAAGCTCCAGCTCTGGCCCAGGCCACCTCCCTGTGCTGGGGAGAACCAGCTGGCTGAGGTGGAGGTACAGATGGATGAGGTCAACCAGGACTGAATACATGGTCAGCACCCAGGGCTGGGGAGACTGGCAGGCGGGATGCCGTGGGAGTTTCCAAGAAATGTCTTAAGGAATTAATGCACCTTAGAAAAACCTACCCTAATGTGAAGAAAGACCAGGGGAACTTCCCAGGAGTCCTTCCCAGAGGTCCTCAGTGCTGCAAGGCAGCTGTGTGATGATAGAAAGTGGCCTGTTTAAAACTGATGCCACCATCTCAGAAGTGGGGGCCATTGTTCAGTGAGGCCTGCTGCAAAAGAGAAGTTAAGGGCCCAGGATGCACACCTCTCTCTGCAGCAGGACGCTTTCCCACTGTCCCTCTGCGGCAAGTGCAGTAACTCCCAATTTGCTTTTGTAGCCGCGATTTCCATTCTTTTCTAAAGAGGCACTAGTGTTTATTGTGGCACTTCAAATGTATTTCTGTTTAGGTCCATTGGCCTTAAATTTTCAGGTTAAAACCTTCACATTTCTCTGAAATGAAAAGAAGGTTGAGGAAAGCAGGACACGAGTTTCCTTAATGATTGCTGGATTTGCTGCCCCAGCACAGTTAGAGAAGTTCTCAGGGTCAAACTCCCTTGGTTTGGCTCATTCAGCATTTCAGTCCCATTCAGCTGATTAATGGGAGTGAAAAGGGCTTCTTGGACATCGGACTTTGCATCTTAGTCCCACGTGACTTTCTATCACAGAGCTTGGTTCCTGGGAGGGTCTGTAGAATATGGTCTCATACATTGAACACCCCTCCTCCCGTCTGCCTGTCTGCATTTTCCTGCAGTTCCCTCAGGATGGAGCACCAGTTGCTATGTGGTTGGTAGGACTGGACACCCAGCCCCGCCCCACTGCTGTGAGTCAGCCTCTGGAGGGAGTCCTTGACGCCACTGGCTTGATGTGGACAAACATCTAGAAAGAAGACTGTTTATCCACACACATCGCCCTCCAAGGATTTCAGAGTAGCATCAGCTGCAGTTCCAACTTAAAAGCAAAGGATCGCCCCCAGCTGCTGTGTTCTTCAGGAGACAGGTAATAAGGGGGCCTCGGAGCTATGGAAGTGGCTTCAGGAGCCCCTTTGTCCCCGGTGCAGGGAGAGGGATGTGGCAGAAGGCAGGAGTAGGCAAAAAATCTTCCTGAATGTTGACACACATTATTTCCCTTTAAAAAATTAATCACTTAAAAATACTACAAATAGAATCCATATTTATTGTGAAAGGTTTAAGAAATGCAGGAAAATAAAGTAAAAACCAATCACAGTCTCACTACCCAGAGATAAACACCTCTAGTGTTTTGTAATATTTCTTGCCAGTCCTTCATACATACATTTTCTAAGAAAATTCAGGTGATTGTGTATGTGAAGTTTTATATCTGCTAGATTTAATATCCTGTTGTATTTTTTCATGCTATTAAATATTCTTGAGGTAAGACTTTTAACGGTCTATAATAAGTGCCATCACATGGATGTATCATAAGCAGAGCCATGCGTTTCTGCCATTTTCACTTTTTTTATGATTATAAATAACTGCAACAAACATGTCCTTAAATCTTTTATTACTTTCTTAGGACAAATTCTGAGAAATAACATTTCCAGATCAAAGGTATGAATGTTTTTAAAGCTTTCAATAATTACTGCCTTCAGAGAGGCTGTGCAGCCTGAGCCAGCAGTGTGCGAGACCCAGTTTGTCCACATGCTCCTTGACTTGCTTGGGACAAGGGAACTCTCTTCTCCCCCTGGAGCTTTCCTAATCTAAAAAACTCCTGCTCCTCTGCCTCCCCTGTCCCTCTGAACAGAACCCCGGTGTTCAGGAGAAAGGACTGCTCCTCCCTTCACACTGCAGCTTAGTGAGCAAGTGGCGCTGAGCAGCGGGGTGCCAAGGTAGGGGTAAGGCACCCTGTCCAGGGAACAGGGAGGCGGACTGTAACCGGACACTTGCCCTCCAGAGCTGGGGCCCAGGCTGGGCATCTGATTCCCCGGCAGCCAGGCTAACAGTCACCAGGGACCGTCTCAAAATGCAGCTCCCTGAACCTGTGCTCAGAATCGAGTTTAGGGATTTGCCTTTTAATCAGTGGCCTAGCAGGGTGTTTAAGAGCATGGAACCTGGACCTCTTAGTTTTAAGCCTGTTTCCCCACCTGTAAAATGGGGAAGAATAGCAGTACCCAGTGCCTAGGGTTATTGCCACCAGTGCATAGTGAGGGCTCAGCGGGTGTTGTTCTGCCAACACCCCTTCAGGTGGCCTGGACCGCTAGCGTCTGAAAGGGGCCAGCCTGTCCTAAGTCCTGCCCTCAGGTGCTGCGAGCCCTGAGAGGCACCCCCAGCATGCCAGGCCCACGGGGCTGTGGTTATAGTGCCCTTGCTCTGACACCCAGGGCCAGCCCTTCCCTGACACTCAGCTACAGCCCCGCATGCCCCGCTTCTCTGGGAGTCTTGGGCACAGCTTTTCTAAAGTGGGATGAAGGAAGGAATCTGCTCGGGGAGCATGCGTTTTCTAGTGAGGACGCCATATATGGATTACATTCGGATCTTTTGTGCTTTGCTGACACATCTCCCTCCATGCAGTGCAGCGTCACATGGAAGGGACACTGTTCTTTATGATCCTAGTCCCCTACTTTTCTGTCCCCACCCTCCTGGTAGCAACTTTTCTCCTTTTGAGAAGCATCCTCACTCTCTGTCCTTTTGCCTGGTGCTTTGCTGTCTGGGAGTCCAGGGAAAGTTGGGCTCCTATGCCACAGCTGTGATGTGTCACATGCGGGGCCCTGTGATCTGCCCTCCAGTGAAGACCCATCACAGACACCCCAGAGGTGTGGGAGGGGTGCAGAGCATAGCTAAATCATTGTTCGCACCCCAGACAAAACAGACTCGCTGAAAAACAGTCTGGAAGGGTCCGCCTGCCCTTTCCCATCCCATCCCAGAGCTGCTCTGGCTGGAGGACCATGGTGCAGCCTGAGCAAATGCAGCCAGCCTGCTTCAGTGCCCCTCTCTGGCTAAGGATGAACTCGCCAAAGCCAGGGTGGGTGAGGAGGAGGACCAGGGGTCTGAGCAGGTGTGTGTCGGGGTTTACCTTGCAGACCAAGCCTCGCAGTTGCTCTCCTCGGGCTCCATTAGACCATGTCTGTCACTACCACGGATGAGGGTAGAAGGCCCAGATCCGCCCAAGGCCCCAGTGCTGTGTTCCCTCTGGGGGGCTCTGTCTGGCAGACTGCCGGTTCAAGGCCTGGCCTCCAGAGGAACATGTCCGTGCTTCTGTGGCCCTGGGCCGAGCCTGGTCTTGGGGGACCCCAGTGAGGATGAAGGAGGCCCAGGCCCACCCAAAGAGTGCCACCCTGCTAGCACACAAGCTTATATAAAGCTCACTCTGTCCACATCCCTCTTCACTCAGAAACCTTTACTGGCCCCACTGCTGGACTCAGTCCTTGGTCCTTGCTGGGGTAGCCCACCGCTCTGTAGCCCCACCTCCTCCACTGCCCCCCACCCCCAGTCTCCACGCTTCAGCCATGTCAGACTGCTCGGTATTAGGCCCTGCTACGTCCCCCCATCCCACCATTTATTTACGGTTACCTTCCAGGACGCCCACCTCCTTCAGTCTCAGCCTGGGGAGCTAATCCTAACCTTTGAGGCCCACTTCATGCCCCTGTCCCTCCTTGAGACCTGAGGCATCTAATCCTGACCGTGGGAGCTGTCCATCCTCTGAGTCCTAACTGCAGCACAATCCTCCCCACCCCTCCTGGCAGGTCTTTCTTCGCTCCTACAGCTGCTGCTCCTGTCCTTGTCTTATCTGTCCCAAACCAAGGGCAGCTTATTCGTTTGAAATCCCTGTCAGATGGACAGGGGAGCCTCTTACATCAGGCCCAGTGAGTGAGCGACCAGAGGCAGGCCGTCATGTGGCTGCGACTGGGGGTGGAGTTGAAATCCACGGCAGAATAGTTCAGGCCACAGCCTGGTTACGTCTTCAGAATAAGCAGCAGCCACAGGCCCTGCTCTGGTGGACAGGACTGGCTGGCTTGGTGGAAGGGGCCTGCCTGCTTCATTTGAAAATCACTTAAATCCTGGGGGTGACTGGCTTTCAGCACAGGCACACCTGGCCGTCGGTCCCTAGTGACGTGAAGACCTCCCTGAGGGTTTTTGGGCAGCAGCCACAGGGAGAGCTGGCCCTGGCCATACCTACCTCAGCTGACCCTGCCTGGGGACAGCTGGGACACTCAGATCTGCCAGGGCTTGTCTGAAGCTCTTCATGTCCCTTTGGGCTGTGCCAGCTTCTGCAGGCTGCTGCTGCGTATGCACACCCCTTGGGACAGCACAGCAGAAGAGGGGGTAGGCCTCCCTGCTGTTGTCCCTTAGCCTTGGCCTCCTGCCCTGAGCTGGACTTGCCCACCTCATGCATGCGTGCTTGCCTCCCCCTTTACCCATTCATGCTCAGCAGGTTCCCAGACAGAGTGTGCAGTCTTCCCACCGAAACCATCTTCTCTGCCTACCCCATCTTACCCAGGTCCTGGTGGCTCCTCCCCCATGTAGGTCCTGCCCAAACTTTTCTTGGTTCTGACCCCTGACATGCATCAGTCCTGCAGCTGCTCCAGGCAGGCACTGCCCACTTCCCATGGCCTTCTTTGGGGGTTACCTTCCTTTCTTCTTTTTCGACCCTTGGCCAGACTGATGCTTCTAAACACAGATCTGATCCTGTCCATCACGTCTGTCCCTTGGAGATGTGGAACACCTCAGCATGGCATGGGAGACCCGTCACACCTGCACAGCCCTGTACCCACAGTCCAGGCCTTGGCTGGAGCATTCCTCACACTCCTTGCCCTTCCCTCCCACCTGAAAAAATCTGTCTCCGTCTGAGACGCTCTCTTCTCGAGAAAAGGTTCCTAACCTTGGAGATTCAGTTCCTTTGTGCTTCTGCACCTCTTGGTGAACACCTAGATAATGTGATTTGTTGCACTAGGTGGTTGCTGGGTTTTTTCTTAGGGACAAAAGCATTTCTTACGCCTCTTCATACCCTCAGAGCCCAGCCTAGTCATTGGCACACTCCAGGTGCTCAACAGGCGCGTGTTGATTGAGTGAGTGAGTGTGCGGACAGTTTGGCGCAGCCCTGACTTTTCTAGTCAGGCATTCTGATCTTGTGGCCTGGATCTCTCCAGGCGTTGCCCTGAAAGGCTGCTGCAGCCTCAGTGGCTGCTCTCAGGACTCTTCGCTGCACAGCAGTCACTGACACAGTATCTCGGATGGTCCTGAACTCAGGTCTTCAAGCTGCCACTACCCACCCCCTCTGTCCTCTGCTGCCTTTGCCTCACAGGAAAGCAGAACGAGGTCCTCTGTGCTCCCTTTTCCAGGCACTCGCTGAGGCAGGGCCATGCTCACATTCATGGCCTCGGACAGTGAGGAAGAAGCGTGTGATGAGCGGACGTCCCTGATGTCAGCTGAGAGCCCCACACCACACTCCTGCCAGGATGGCCGGCAGGGCCTGGAGAACGGAGAGAAGGCTACCAGGCAGGTAGGTTCCCACCAGCAGACTGAGCCGTGAAACAGGCCCCTGGGGCTCCTGGACCGGATGGTGACCTGCCATTCCCTGGTGTGGGAGGAGGGCGAGGGGAAGGTCAGCTGTGGTGCTCTGCCATCCAGGCAGCCTCATGTAGACAGCACGTTCACAGGCTGCTGACGTCTAGCTTGGCTCCAGGCTGAATGAGCTTCTGCACCCCAGCCTCTGCCCTATTTACTTCCTAGTGCAGGTGACTGCTGCTGTGGGAATGGGCATGAGTCTGGGTGCTGGGATGGGGAGCACAGAGGCTAACGGATAGACAGACGGTAGCACAAAAATGGCTGGGGCAGGAGGGGAGGGGCTTTCCATAGCCAGACGAGCAGCCCAGAGGTGAGCATACCTACCTCGTACTTGCCTGTTGAGCTGGGGTTGTGTCGTAGTCCATTCAGGTGGCTATTACAAAAATGCCATAGATGGGGGGGCTTATGAACAACATTTATTTCTCACTGTTTTGGAGGCTGGGAAGTGCCAGATAAAGGTGCAGGCAGATCCAGGTTCTGGTGAGAGCCCCGTTCCTGGCTCACAGGCCATGTCTTCTCACATGTCCTTGCCTGGGGGAAGAAGGGGACTCTCTGGGGTCTCTTATAGGGCACTAACCCCATTTGTGAGGGCTCCATCCTTAAAACCTCATTACCTTCCGAAGACCCCACCTGCTAATACCATCACATTGTGGGTTATAGTTCAACCTATGAGTTTTGGAGGACACATTTGGTCCGTGGCTGGAGGGTAAGCCGCAAAGTGATCTCTAGTCTGTAGGACAGGAGATTACACCATTATGAAGAGGGGGATATATGTGGGAGAGTCACCTGGCTGTACCACCTCCTTCCCCATCAGGGCAAAACAAAATTTGAATCTGCCTGAGTCACAATCTCTGTTTTGCCCACTATGGTACATACTTTAAACCTTTCCATGTGGAATTTTCTTCCAACCAGCCTTACAGCCTTAATCCCCTTTGCTGCAACTTGAGCTCATTTGTTCTGAGCTCCTAGCAAGATCCCAGCAGCTCAAGGCCAGTGGGCAGCCCGTCCTTTGCCTTTCCTTGCTAGTTTCTTTGGCTTTTATATCCCAGAGTTTTTGCACATTGTCTGTGTCATCCCTGTTTGTTAACAGTTCTTTCTCAGTTGGATCTAAATCTAGATTGGACTGTCTGCAAAGAGCTGACAATGAAGCAATAGTCACTTTTTGCTCTTGCTTTGTGTGGGTTTGTCTTTGGCTGGTAATCTAATTAACAAGGCAGCTAATGACCCTGAATTGCCACAATTCCAAGACAGAAATTCTTGTGGATCGGTTTGTCCCAGATTCTGGCAGGCGGCCTGCCCTCCTTTGCCACATGCCAGTTTACACTCCCCCACCTTCCCGTAGCCAGGATTTCCCCACAGGTGCCTAATGCCTGGTAAGCCACTGGCTCTGATACTGAAGATTTTATATGCTTGATTTTGAGCAAAAAGTTCAAAGTGATTCAAATTCCCAGCATCCTATTCACAATTCAGAGACAACCCCGTGTGTGTTGACTGTTCTAGTTTGTGATTTGTCGGTCAGGAACGTTTAGTGTGTGCCTCCCACATCACCTGGCCTGTCTCCTCCCAGGTCAGTCTGGCCATGTGGACAGACTGATGGCATTCTGAGTCCCTGTAGTGAGGGAGGGGAAGGCCCTTCAGACCTGCTCCAGATCCATTAGCTGTAAGGCGTGGGCTGTGGAGCTGCCACGGTCCCCCTTCCTGCATCACTGGTGGTCTACCAACTCTAAATCTTCCCCAGGTGTCTCAGAAACTTTTCAAATGTCCTAGAATGCCAACAGGCCTACATCTAAACTACAGCCCTAGAGTGGTCCTTATATCTGGAAAGCGACATTCAAACTTCTCATTTCCATTTCCCCAACACCCATGTGTGACATCGGCACGCCCTCCCCGGGGTCATTCCATGGCCCTCACAGTGTGGTTTCCCACAGAGAAGCCAGGACAGTGAGGAGGACCACGAGGAGGACCTGGACCGCTACATCTGCAGTGGGGTCCCCGGACAGCCGCTGGGCCTGGAGGAAGAGCTGACCCTCAAGTACGGGGCAAAGCACGTGATCATGCTGTTCGTGCCCGTCACACTGTGCATGATTGTGGTGGTGGCCACCATCAAGTCCGTGCGCTTCTACACGGAGAAGAATGGACAGCTGTGAGTTGGGGAGTGGGGCTGGGCGGGGGCTGTGGCTCCAGCAGTGGTAAGGAGCAGGCATGAGTTGCCGCCAGAGTCCACACTGTGGTCGTACTCTGCCTTCTGGCTGTGGGACCTGTCCAGGCACTTTCCTAACCTCTGTCTGCCTCAGTTTCCTCATCTGTAGAACAGGTTTGATAATGGGGCTCCTGGAAGAACTAGGCAAATTAATCCAGGTAGAAGGTGTAGAGCGGTGCCTGCCACCCAGGCACCCAGGGCTTCACTGCAGACGGGAGCTCAGTGTGCCGGCACCAATGTGCCACCCACCACTGTGTGACTGCAGCAGGTCACCTCCTCTCTGGGCCTCTGCCACGTGAAGGTAATGGCCCAGCAGCAGCCTGGGGAAATGAGAAGCTTCCCTCTGCCCCCTGGCCTCACCTCCCGGTGGTGATTGCCACTGAGCAGCTTCTCTAAAAATCTTTTTTTTTTTAGTTAGGGGTTTTTGTTTAGTTTTTTTAAAGAAAGGAGCAGGGAGAAGCCCCCACCTCGGGAAGCTTATAGTCTGCTTGGACCCCCAGCAGCATGGGGAGCCAGTTTAGGAGAACTGAGAGCTCCACGGGGTGTTTGCTTCCAGGCTGGGCAGGGGCGTCAGCGCCTCGCTCCCTGAGCTTATTAGTGGCCTGTGGGGCTGCTACACCTGGGTGGGGTTGGGGTAGAGGGCAGCAAGGCCTGGCTGGTGTGGCCGGTAAACTGCTGGGTCTCCCTGGACCAGAGTGGAGAGGTAGGAACCAGAAACGTGCCTCTGGGGTGGGGGTGCCTGGGGGGCCATCTCCAGGCCCCTACCTGCACTGCATTGGGCACCATCATCAGGCCAGGGTCAGGGGGCCAGGAACCCGGGATGGTGGGGGGCTGTGGGGGTGGCACTGCCCTGGAGCAGAGGCGGTACTCCCCATGCCCCCCAACCGGGGCCAGGGAGCAGACTGGAGCCTTGCCTTCACCGTCAGCATCTACACGCCATTCACCGAGGACACGCCCTCCGTGGGCCAGCGCCTCCTCAACTCTGTGCTCAACACCCTCATCATGATCAGCGTCATCGTGGCCATGACCATCTTCCTGGTCGTGCTCTACAAGTACCGCTGCTACAAGGTGAGCACTGGCCCTGCCCCCGTCCCCTGCTGTCCCCTCCTGGCTGCCGCCACCAGCGCAGCTGCCTGTGTTGCTGTTGTTTAGCTCCCAGAGTTCGTCTTCTCCACAAGTGAGTTTGGATTTTCTGTGCTCCCTCCCACCACTCCCGCTGTGCCTTGATCACCCAGCACTGCTGTCTTTCAAACTCACACATGATCCCATTTGACTGAGTCCCTCATTGCTGTGTTCATAGTGTCACTTCTCATGTTCAAAAGTTAATTTCATATTGCTTCTCCTTCTGAAGAAGTCAAATGTCCTATTTTAGGTTCACTTTGCCCCACACTTCCCTTCCAGGTTTTTTATTTTCCCATTTCCCTTTTGGCCAGGATAAGCAGATGCTGTGCTGAGGCCTCCCTGCCCTGGGAGACGGGTAGGTGGGGCTGTGCAGCTGCAGAGGCTCAGGTGGGAGAGTACCCTGTGGGCGACAGTGGAGTTGAACTTCCCCTGGCACAAGTCACGGGCACCGTCTGTTCCCAGAGATGTCAAAAGCTTTTAGACTTGGGTTTCAGGCTTTTCTTCCAAGGAATCCTGATGACTAAGAGGAAGTAAACCAGGCTTGACCGAATTTTAAGATTCTCCTGCAGGGGTGCATGGCTCTTTGTAGTCGGGCTGCCACCCTCTGGGGAGCAGGTGGAGTGCCAAGGAGGCTCAGTCGGGCAGAGGAGCCACTTGGGCTGATGATGGGAGGGGCTGTCAGAAGTGTGCGGCAGCTGAGGCTGATCAGTAAACAGTGGCCTGCAGAAATGGGGCAGAGCTCTTCCCTGGGGCAGGGAGGGCTGCGTGGTGGGAGCAGAGGGTGGTCAGCAGGTGTCTGGGGACTGAGCCCCGGGACCTCTAAGGAGTGGCTCAGCCACCCATTTGTTGAGGTTTACTTGCAGTTTGTGTGACGCTTAGGCAGATGATAGTGGCCTGGGCTGACATGAGGAGGGTCAGCATGTTCCACAGGCTGCTGCACACACAGGATGACCTCGGCCGCTGCTTTCATTCCCGGTGGACCAGGTCCCCAGGGGCCCAGGCTGGTGACTCATAGTGTGTCCTCAGGGGAGGCTGCCACTGAGGCTGCTAAGGGACTAGTTTAGGATCAGCCCCCCTCGTCCTTGACCCTCCCTTGTTTGGCTGGGAGGAGAGGAACAGCTTCCTGAGGGCCTGTTTGGGGACTGTCAGGTGGGAGAGGCTGCCTGGGGTGACGACTGAGAAAGAGCTCGAGAGCCCTGCCCTGACCTCTCTAAAGTAGCACCTGCTGAGGCCCCTGTCACTTTTTCCTAGTGGTTTTTCTCCTTCAGAGCCCTGGCAGTACCTGTTAGAAATGCTGCGTGTAGGGCCTAACTGCCCTCAGAGTGTGCCTGGTGTGTAGGGCTCACCATGCTTGTCCTTTCTGGGCGACTGAGTAGAGGTCCAGGCATTCAGACCCAAAGGGGTTTCATCTTTATACGTTTTCCGGGGCCTTGGGAGAACCTGAATTTCTTCATCCTCTTGTCAGCCAGCACAGTCCTGAGGGGCCCAGCAATGATAGTCTTGCAGCTCAGGCACCAGTCCTGAGAGCCGGGCCGTGTCACTTGGGGGCGCGTGCCATTCTGCCTGTTTCTGTTGTCTAGTTCATCCATGGCTGGCTGATCATGTCCTCTCTGATGTTGCTGTTCCTCTTCACCTACATCTACCTTGGGTAAGTGGGCTGGTGAGCAGGGGCCCTGGGGACCCCTCCTGTGGCAGGAGTGCATATGAAGGAACTTGGGGGGTGGGGGTGTCTGCCCACAGGCCTTGACACGGAGTGGAGTTCTGTGTGGGCCACACGTCTTTTTTTGGTTCTTGATTTAAGACTAGTAAGTAGAGCCATCATAGAGGAGGCTCTCTGTGAACCCAAGGCAGGTTATGAACCCCCTCAAAATTTACCTTCTCGTCTTTGAGCTGGGCCTGGGGACTTTCCTAGTTTATGGAAAAGTAATCCACTCTACTGGCCTTGATGGGGGATATCAGCCTGATCCAGGGGCCAGGAGAGCCTGATGGGCAGGGGAGAATGCTTTTCTGAGGACCTTTCCTACCCCTGGCTGAGGGGCTTCAAGGGGTGCCCGCGCATGTTTACAGGAACCAGCCCAAGGGGGAAATGCCAGCATCACCTTGTTCCAGAAAATATTCCAAGTTCTCCATTGTAGGCCTCATGGAAATGGGGAAGGAGATAGTAATTGATGCCAGAGGCCTGAAAAACCCAGCTTGAGACTTGCTGGGTGATGAGCAGGGATGTCAACCGGCATCTTACTGAGTCTGACATCTCCACTGAGTTTCCCACCCCACGGGCTTGCCTGTGGTCCTGCAGGGAGGTGCTCAAGACCTACAACGTGGCCATGGACTACCCCACCCTCCTCCTCACCGTCTGGAACTTCGGGGCGGTGGGCATGGTGTGCATCCACTGGAAGGGCCCCTTGGTGCTGCAGCAGGCCTACCTCATCATGATCAGCGCACTCATGGCCTTGGTGTTCATCAAGTACCTCCCCGAGTGGTCCGCGTGGGTCATTCTGGGCGCCATCTCTGTGTATGGTAGGCCGGTGCAGGCGGGCTTCTGCCGAGGGTGGTGGGGGCGACATCCAGGGCCGAGTCCTTGCCACTGCTTCACAAAGGTGGTGATGCTGAAAAGCCCCTTCCCTCCATGAGGAAGCCTGGATGTCCCCCACTTATGAGAGGCTTGCCTTCATAAAACACGTGGGGTCCTGTAACATGACTGTTGATGTGGTCACTACTACTAGGGGTGTTTATCACTCGCACTGCCAGGCACCTGGCACACTGAGTGCTGTTCCTGAGAACGGCTCTAGGATCAGACACAGTAAATAATGTTACAGCTGTGCGGGGGCCAAAATATTAGCCGCTGTTTAACTAGCGCCATTGCAATCACCATCCTGGTGCTGTTGCCTCTGTTTGAGAATGAGGAATTTGGGCTCAGATGCAGGCCTGTTGGCCCATCCTCTGGGTGTGTGGGGTCCCCTGCGGTTCTTTGGTAGCAGGTGGGTCACCTAGACCTTGCCCTGGGGTCGAGCTGGGGTGGGCTCTGGAGGCTCTGCTGGGAGCCTGTGGCTTGGGAGGCTGGGAAGCAGGGCACTTTCTGAGAGCCTCGTGCTGGGACACACACGCTCTCCGCTCTGGGCAAGAGCGCTGGCTCTCTGTCTGAGTGCTGCTGGGGAATAATTGTCTTTTTTGCTGTGTGTCTGTTTTCCCAGATCTCGTGGCTGTGCTGTGCCCCAAAGGGCCTCTGAGAATGCTGGTGGAAACTGCCCAGGAGAGGAATGAGCCCATATTTCCTGCCCTGATATACTCATGTGAGTGGCCCCATGCCTCCTCCATCCCATCCAGTCTGTTGTGGTGTGTGGTGGGTACAGGCTGTGCTCCCAGAGCGCATGACCGACCCACAGCCCTGCAGGCTCCAAGAAGGGACTTTGGAGAGGGATGCTTCCAGCAGGGGCTGGGGGAGAAGGGTGCACCTGCTTCAGTGGGCTTCCTCAGCAACTCAAGGCCGGTTGAAGTTAAGTCTCTAAAGGGAGACACATGGGGCTGGTGTGGTGGGGTTCTCGATTTAATATGCATTCAACACACATGCCTCAGATCCCCACTCTGCCAGGTGCTGTAGTGGGCATTAGGGGTGCAGAGGAAACAAGATCCACATGACCTAAGCCTTACACGTCACAGCACTGGTGTTTGATGCCCTCCCATCTGTTGATGGTGGAACATGTTTAAGTAGAGAGCCTGAAATTTGGGGACTCAGCTCTCTGCGGGGTGTGCAGAGGAACAGCCTATGGAATGGCAACAGAGAGCATGATAATCTCTATGCAAATGAAGAGTGGAGTTTGTAGTGGAGAATCGCGGGCAGCTGGGCCCGCAGCATGAAAGCACATTCCTGGCCCGTTCTGAGGAGGAGCAGAGACAGGTGAGAGACCAAGGCAGTGCCCAGACCGAGGCTCACCATTCTGTGCTCTGGCGGGGGAGACAGTAACTAAGCAGACAGTGCCAAAGTCACGGAGGTGAGTGCTGTGGGGAGAGGTGGAGCAGGGAAGGACCCAGGGACATCAGGGCAGCGGGGGGATGCTGTTTCACACAAGGTGGTCAAAGAAGCCTCTGTCATACACTGATTTCTGGCCAGACCTGTGTTAGGAAAACCTGGGACAGAATTCCAAGTGCAAAGGCCCTCAGGGGTAGCAAGGGAGGAGAGGGCCAGGCCATGGTAAAGACGAGTTCTTCCTCCTGAGTGAGCTGGATGCCACTGGAGAGTCTCCATCTACCTGACTTTACATTTTAACAGGACCACGCAGGTTGCTGAGAGGAGACCAAAATGTAGGGGCCGAATAGAAGCAGGAGTGGGCGTGGAGGGTGGGGTCAACCAGGGCCAGAGCAGATGTGGCTGGATGCCAAAGACATTCTGGGGGCGGTGTTGGTAAGATCCACTGGTGGCTGGGGGGGTGGGTTGTGTGGAAGAGGGTCAAGGATGATGTCAGTACCTGAGAATAGCAAGGGTGGCCACTCACAAGAAGGAGCACCTACAGGGCCATCAGAGGCCATGTTGAGGGCATGTGGACCTGCTGAGGTTGAGATGCTCACTGGACATTCAAATGGAGAGTTGGAGAGATGGGATGTGAGTTCAGGAGAGGATGTCCCTGCTAGAGAGAAAACACAATTAGTACTGCACCATCCAGCAGTCACACTCCTGGGTGCAAACCCAGGAGACTTGGTGGGGTCTTGAACAGGTAGCTGCACACCTGTGTTTGTAGCAGCACTATTCACGATAGCCCGAGAGATGCAAGGGACCCAAACGTCCATCAGTGGGCGGGGCGGATGAACCAGGCACTGGGCATACATGCAACGGGATATTATTCTGTCTTAAAAAGGAAGGGAGGTGTGATTCCTGTTACGTGGACGAACCTTGAAGACATTCTGCTAAAAGAAACCAGCCAGACACAAAAAGACAAATATTGTATGAGTCCACTTACATGAGGAATCCACAGGAGTCAATCTCATAGATGGGAGGCAGTGGTTGCTGGGGCTGGGGAGGGCATGGGCTGTTCAGTGGGTACGGCTTCGGTGTTGAAGGCTCTGGAGACGGGACCCACCACAGCGTGAATCTGTGTGACACTACCAGGCCATGCTCTTGGACGGTTAAGATGATGCGTTCTATGTTACATGTTTTTTTTTTTAACCACAATAAAACAAAAACACAGTCAGTTTCCCGAACCATTCACTGATAACATTATCATCATTTTTTGTGAGGAGGCAGAGATGAGGCAGTGGGGCCGGACCCCTCCCCAGTGGCCTCCCAACAGTGGGGCAAAAGCTGGGGGCACAGACTGGCCCACCTGCTCTCCAGACCACAGTGAGCACTACCTGAGGCCTGACTCTTTTCTCCTCAGCTGCCATGGTGTGGACGGTGGGCATGGCCAAGCTGGACCCCTCCTCTCAGGGAGCCCTCCAGCTCCCCTACGATCCAGAGATGGGTGAGTACCTGGGGCAGCTGCTCAGCCTGGCCTGGCCGCTCCAGGAGGCGTGGGGGCAGGAGGGGCCGAGGGAAAGCGCCCACATGGACATGCGCGTCTTGGGGGTTAAGTGGGGCTAGGACTTCAGCCCTCCACCTCGGCCCCGTTTCCCATCCTTCCCTCCCGTTGTGGTGGGAGAGTCTGTGTCGCGGCTGGGCATGGCTAGGGGCGTGGGCAGGGAGCCCAGAGCCCCAGCTGTTCCCCAGGGATCCTCTGACTGGGCTCCTGTCTCTCACTGGCCCCTCCGCACATGATGATGGCTGTCTTCCCTTCCTGGACACCCAGAAGAAGACTCCTACGACAGTTTTGGGGAGCCCTCATACCCTGAAGTCTTTGAACCTCCACCGCCTGGCCACCCAGGGGAGGAGCTGGAGGGAGAGGAGGAAAGTAAGGTGCCCGTGTCCCCATGGTCTGCGGGGGTGGGATGAAGCCTAGAGGTGGGGTGCCCTGCTGAGGGGAAGCCCCTTCTCACACCAGAGGTAGCTTACAAAGGTCACAGAGAAACCTGCAGAGGAGGGACCGTGTGGGCAGGCCACGGGGACTCTGACCTGTAGGCTTGCCATGCGTTCGATGGACGAGCCTCAAGTGTGACCGGGGGAGGGCGGGGCTGACAGACCCACACGGTAGGGGGACAGTGGGACCGCTGGGAACTCCACGCCGAGCAGCCTCTGGAAGGTGCGCCTTCCCCACGCTTCTTCCTGGGGCTTCCGAGTGGACCCCTTGGATGCCTGCTCTATCCCCACACAGGGGGTGTGAAGCTGGGCCTGGGAGACTTCATCTTCTACAGCGTGCTCGTGGGCAAGGCGGCAGCCACAGGCAGCGGGGACTGGAACACCACCCTGGCCTGCTTCGTGGCCATCCTCATTGTGAGTGGGCCGGCGGGGGCTCAGGATCCCTAGGGAGTTTTCAGGTGCCGCTGTCTCTGGGTGGTCTGGGTGGGGGTTGCCATGAAGATGGTGAAGACGAGACCTTGGATCACAGGAGATTCTGGTCCACAAGACTCAGGGCAATTCCAGGTCCTGGGTTCCTGAGGTGGGCCTGCTGCCAGGGCTTGGCTAGCTTTGGCACGTCCTCCCAGCACCTGGGAGGCAGGCGTGATTATCTGCTGAGATGATGGGAGAGGAAGGAGGTTGAGCACAAGGCTGGTGGGGTGAGCCGTGATTTGAACTCTGGGGTCTAACTGCAGGCTGTGTGCTTTCCTTCCATGCCACCCAGACATGATGAGCTTCTGAATCCCAGAGGTCCACTGGGGCCTGGGCCGGGGAAGGCCCTGTCCCTTTGAAGCTTAGCAGTAAAATTGGGAGACCCCCTGTAATCACTTAATGTGGCCAAATACATATAATAGGAAACATCCTATGATGGTTGCTTCTTGGTGGGGACGGGCGGCCTGAACGGTACATGCTCAGTGTTCTGCCCATGGATCCCTGGCGTCATGGGCCATGTGAGGCTGAGGTTCTGGTTCTTTGGAGATGTTGTTTCAGCCCACAGTAGGTGTCAGGGATGGGGTAGGGGACCCCCAGGCTCCTCCGCCTCTGGACCTCTGGACTGTCTATAAAGCCCTGCTTTCCCCAGTGATAGGGCAGGTAACCCTAGTACCCTGTCCCCATCCTGGGCCACTGCCTGCCTCGGCCTGGGTGGGGACAGGTGGGCAACCACTCGGCCTGCTTCCTAAGGGATGGGTCCCCCAGAATCCTTGGCTTCTTGGTGTTAGCTGCGGAGAACCTTGCTGGCATTTCAGTTGAGCCTGTTCTTTATAAATATATGTCCCCCAAGGGGAGGTGTCTGCCACCAGGTCACATGTGTCACTACTGTAGCCGCACAGGGAGGCAGCTCCGTGCTAGCAGTTGAAGGCCTGCTTTCTGGGTCACCCATCACATGAAGGGTGTTAGGACTGTGGGAATCCTGCCCTCAGCACCTCACTGCTGCTCCCAAGAGGACCTGGGAAGATGATGGTGCATCCCGGCTGTTGTCTGCCAAGTCCTGGACAGGCTCCAGAGCCGGGCCTAGACACACCACCCCCTCCAGCCTGCCCCACCCTGCAGCGCTTACCTCCCCTCCCTGACCTGTGTCCTGCAGGGCTTGTGTCTGACCCTCCTCCTACTCGCCGTGTTCAAGAAGGCCTTACCCGCCCTGCCCATCTCCATCACATTCGGGCTCATCTTCTACTTCTCCACGGATAACCTGGTGTGCCCATTCATGGACACTCTGGCCTCCCACCAGCTCTGCATCTGAGGGGAGGCATGGGCCCCGCAGGCTGGGAGCTGTCGGGCAAGTGACTGGAGGCAGCCAGGTAGTTGCACACTCTAGTGCCATATATTTTTAATACTTCTTTCCTTAAAAAGTGAGAGTAAAGAGGTATTTTGTTTACTTTGTGAGGAGGAAGAACCAGCTTTTTGGTGCTCGCTGTTTAGTCACTAGATGGTAGCCCACCCCTCATGAGCACCGGCCTCACGGATGGGAAATGACATCATTCAGATGAGCTGAGGAGGCTCCGTGATGTGGGGAGGTGCATGGAGAGGGCTGCTGGCTTGCACTTCAGCGCCTTGGGCTCCGAGGGCCCAGGAAGGAAGGTGTGCACACATTTGGGACCAGGAGCTCCTGCTCAGAGGGCACGTAGCACCTAGTCACTCTGGCCAGAGAAGAAAACCGGTTTTCTCCGCAAGGAATATGCCCACTGCTTTGTCTATGATGTCACTGTTATTTTATTACCTTTAGACACCGAGTCCTGTTCTTGTTACAGCAGGTACTCCGGGAAGCAGCTCATTCCTATCAGTAAAGAGGTGAATCCTGTGGCATGTTGGTGTTTTGTCAGTTTGTAAGTGTTCACCCCTCTCCCTGCGTCTCATGGCCACTCTTAGGATAACATAGGCTGTGGCCCGGAAGGAAGGACATCTGCCAAGTTATGAAGGAGGAGGCCTAACTGCCCCATCCCTCTGCAACCATTCATTATGAGAGGGTTTCTTGAGCAAAGGCATGCAGAGAGCGTGAGGCCTGATGGTGGCGGCTCAGAGCTGTCACGGGCTGCTGGTGCTGAGCAGACCCCTGCGCTGGCTGCAGCTGTTAAGTGTCGCCAGAAACAATGCAAGGTGGCCCCCAGAACAGTGTCTGTCCTTGACAGAAGCCAGTGCACAGTCGGGGCCAGGTGAGAGCCCATGATCAGGAACTTGCTTTTGTTCTGTGGCCATCTCAGCACCGGGAGGTGGGGCAGGCCGCGCAGTTTTCCTTCTCCTCTGCACCCGTCCCAGGTTGCAAAGAGAACCTCAGTAATGCCTCTGGACCGGCACCCAAGCATCTTGAAGCAGTGCTGGGCCAGCCGCTGGTCCCTCTGGGAAGCACAGTTGTCAGACAACTGAGAAAGTGCCGGTGCCCAGTATGCAGTTCAACCTGGTAGCTTTGTCTCCTTACTCCAGAAATAATGGGGGTGCTGTGAAGCTGGCCAATTACCATGAGAGGAATAAAAGAATTACCTACTCTGATGTTTGCTGTAGCTTCCTGTCCCTGGGCTGTTTGTAGCAGGGCAGAGGATAGCATGGGGGCCTGGATGTGGCCTGCCAGTGGCGGTGTGCCCGTGCTCAGGTGCCGCAATCTGGAGAGCGCTGACTGGCTGAACTGCCACCTGAGACAGGGTGGCATCGCCATCCTGAAGGGCAAAAGTAGGGAGGGTTTTAGATGATGACTGGTCCCTGCTGGTCAAAGCTCCTAGAAGGTAAGAGAGAAGAAGAACTTGGAGCTCATTCAACTTAGTAATTGAAGAGTAGTTTCAAAGATACTACTTTGAAGAGTATGTTTCCAAAGATGAAATTTGGTTAAGTGTTTTGATTTGTTAGGTTTGAAGAGGTCTTCATCAAAGGCCTGACCAGGGTGCTGGGGGAAGAAGCCATTCAGGCAGCGGTGAAGCCCTGTATTAAAGTGGTGATGGTGAGGGAAGGAAAGAGGGACGGCGCGTAAGACTGCCTGTGAAGGCTGGGGACAGCGGACAGGAGGAGACCAAGGCCTGGAAGAAACTGCCTCCACAAGCTTGGTCCCTGGCTGGCTGGAAGACCGGGCACCCAGCACAGTAGAGGAGGGAAAACAAGAGAACAAGAAAATAGATAATCCAAATGTGGCGCACAGGACAGAGAACTGGTATGCAAATGCGTACAGCCCCCATAACCAGCCACCAATTCTTAACACTTTTTCCATACGGGGCACACCTTAGAGATACTACAGGCTTGGGTCCAGACCACTGCAATAAAGTGAGTATCACAAAGCGAGTCATGAATTTTTTGGTTTCCCAGTGCATACAAAAGTTATATTTATGCTATACTGTAGTCCATTAAGTGTGCAGTACCATTATGTCTAGAAAACAGTGTGCATACCTTCATCAAAAAACACTGCTAAAAAATGCTAACCTTCACCTGAGCTTCCAATGAGTCATATCTTTTTGCTGCCAAAGGTCTTGCCTCACTCTTGATGACTGTTCCTCTCTTCTGAGCAGTAGGTCTCAACAGTGGCCTTAAAATATTCAGCAAACCATGTTGTAAACAGATGTGCTCTGTCATCCAGGCTTTGTTGTTCCATATACAGAGTACAGGCAGGGTGGATTTAGCATAATTCTTAAAGACCCTGGGATTTTGGAGTGGACAGTGAGCACTGGCATCAGCTTGAAGTCCCCAGCTGCATTAGCCCCTGGGAGAGAGTCAGCCTGTCCTTTGAAGCTTTGCAGCCAGACATTGATTTCTCCTCTAGCTATGGAAGAACTCATCTTGATATTACCAGATTCTTCGTTTTTGCTGAGTGGGCATGTGTTACCTCCTTTAGGTTTCAGTTTGCACTGAGGTTAAGCATCGTTGCACAGGTTTTGGCCCTGCTGGTTTCCTTGTCTGTTCATATCCTTTGCCTGGTTTACATTTGGCTAATTTGTGTTTTCCTTATGGATATGTAGGTCTCTTAAAATATACATCCTGGAGAGATGCTAACCTTTAGTCAATTATGGGCATTTCAGATATCCTTCCCAGGCTGGGGCTTGTCCACCCTCCCCCTTAGCAGTGCTTTGCCAGAGCAAATTTCATATGTTAATGTATCAATCTTTACCTTCACGGTTTATGCCTTTGCCTTCTCTACCCCTGTTAAGAGACTTCTCTACCCTAAAGGTTTTCTGCAAGCTTAAATATTTATTTTCAGATTAAGATTTTTAATCCATTTGATATTTATCCTTATGTATCATATTTATTCTGGACCCAATTTTGTTTTTCTGCATCTGTAAGGTGCGGTTCCAACTTGTCTATCGAGCCTCTCCTCCTTTCCTGTGAGTTTGTACAACTCCAGCGGTACACCGAGTTCCCATTAGCAGGTGGATGGGCTGTAGGGCCCTCTCTTCTGTTCCATAGGTACGAATGCTGTCCCATACCAGCACCTCACCACATGGCAGAAGCAGAGGCATTCGGTGGTGAAGAGAGAAAGTGGGGCTCCTCCAGGGGAGGGCCCATTCCTGAAACTCTAGTTGCAGAGACATGTGAATCTGAAATTATGCCAGATCTCCTAAAGTAGTATAAAGCTACAAAATTATAATAGCATGGAATTGCTGTAGGAGTCAACATATGTATCCATTGGATAAAATGATAGTCCTGGAGTAAAATCTGGTATAACGAGTCTAACCCAAGCTCCAGCTTTTCTCTCCCTCTTTGAAGTGCTCTCTGCACTCCGTGGGAAGGAGGATGTGGGGCACAGTGAAGCACGTCCACTCCTGAGCTGTGCCTCCTCCTGCCGCCTTCACTTCCTCCATCACAGGTTCACTCTCCGTGTTGCACCCTGCAGCTCATGACTGCAGTCCCTTCCACTGTGTGCCTCTGTGAGGACCTCAAGACGGGGCAAACCACTTCCCTGCCTTTCCTATGGAGCAACACTGCCAGCTTTCAGATCCTGGCTTTGTCCATTACTGTGTGACCTGAAGGAAGTCCCAACTCCCTGAGAGTAGGATTAGGCTTAACTGTCCATAATGTAAGCGGTGATTTAACCAAGATGGTATTGTTCTCCCGCACACAGGCAGCTCAGGAAGGACATGATAGCTCATGGTTTCATGGCCAGGCTCCCATCTTGTTTTGATGTCCTCAGTATGTGGGTTTACCTCATGGCCCAAGTTGGCTGCCAAGCTCTAGCCATCAATTCCACACTACATCTAACATGAAAGGATAGAGAGGGATGCACTTCCCTCTCTTAAGGATACTTCCCAAAATTGCACACAAAAGTTGCTAAAGGGAGACTGGGAAATATCTTTACTTCAAGCAGCCATATGTCCATCTAAAGAACATAAGGAAGTGTGTGGTTATGGTGTGTCTTCTGGTTCACCAACATAGAGATTGAAGTTACCAAAATAAATCGAGAAAATGAGGTCATGAGGGATACTGTGAACCGCAAACTGATGTCTCCAAAGAAGGTGGAAATTGGCCTGGGAGGTGAACAGTGACACCACAGGGATGAAGGTGGACTGTCATCTCCGTTAAAATCAGGCAGGGAGGGTGTGGAAAGACCCAGGCAGGAGGGTGTGGAAAGACCCAGGCAGGAAGATGTGGAAAGACCAGGATGACCACGAGCCAGGAGATGGCTCATCTTACGCCGTGTGTCCTGTTGTGAAAAAATATGTAAGGCAGTCAGGGTGCTGTGGCTGCAAATACCTGGAGGCCTTAGTAGAGGGTGACACTGGTTAAATTGGAGTAGGTCTTGTCTTAATCTAGGCTCCAATTGGCTCAGTCAGAAGTCCTTTATCTTACACCTCAGGGCATGGAGTACCACCATGCTAGGTTTGTGGTTTATTCAGCAATTCAGTGAAATCACTGATGGCTGTTTCATTCTCTCCATGTTCCTCTCAGGTATTTTTACCTGCACGGAGCCAGGTGCTGAGAGAGGAGAGGGGGAGGAAAGGAGATGAGAGAGGATGAACCTTACTGTGTCATTTTTTTAAGTTCAATGAAAATCCTGCTCAGAAGTTCCCAGGCAGTTTGCCCCCTGAATCTCTTCGGCCAGAATGGTGTCACAGCCCCACGCCTAAACCAATCACCAGCCCTGCATGTGGAATTGACATGGCCAGCTGAGGCCAGTCAGAGTATAACCCTGAGTCTCATAGGGGAGGGCTGGATACCTGAAAAGGATCTGAGTTCTGTTAGCGGGCACAGAAGTCTCTAGGTGGACACCTAACTGTGACTGCTACAATAGCTGTCTTACTTTTTCTGTAACCTAAGCCCCATTTTGCCTGTTAGAAAATAAACTGGTGAACTCAGTTTGATGTGTCAAATTCTTCTCCCTGGAGCAGGACCGAAGTGTGGGGAGGCACATGTGGTCCTTTACTAGCACCTGTCTGCCTTGATGGCTTTTTAATTGTGGTTAAAAAAGTAATAAAATCTATCATCTTAATAGTTTCTAAGTGTATGGTCCAGTAGTGCCAAGCATATTCACTCTGTTAGGTCCTGTCTCCAGAACTTTCATCTTCAACACTGAAACTGTACCCACTGGACAATCCTATCCCCCTCCCTGTCCAGCCCCTGACAACCACCATACTAACCCCCCACACCCACACCCACACCCCAATTCTTTGATTTTGACAAATACCGCATGTAAATGGAATCACAGTATTTGCCTTTTTGTGTCTGGCTCATTTCCCTTAATGTCCTCAAGGTTCATCCATGTTTCAGCACAGGTCATAATTTCCTTTTTCAGGCTGAATATATTCCTGTGTGTGTATATACTGCATTTCCTTAGCTATTCATCAGTCGGTGGTGGACACTTGGATTGCTTCCACCTCTTTTCTATTGTGAATAATAGTGCAATGAACGTGGGTATGCAAATATTTCCTCAAGTTCCTGCCTTCAGGTCTTGTGGATATATACCAGGAGTGGGACTGCTGGTCCTATGGTAATTCCATCTTTGTTTATCTATTTTTTGAAGAAACTGCATAGTATTTCCACAGTGGCTACACCATTTTACATTCCCACCAACATTGCACGAGGGTTCTAATTTCTCCACTTCCTCCCCAACACTTCCTGTTTTCTATCTTTTTGATAGTGGCCATCCTAATGGGTGTGAGGTAGTAGTATCTTTCTGCCTTTGTCTAATGACTAGTGATGTTGAACATCTTTTCATGTGCTTGTAAGCCATTTGTATATGTTCTTTAGGTAAATGTTTGTTCAAGGCTTTTGCCCATTATTTCATTGGATTATTTGTTCTTTTGTTGTTGAGTCATAGGAGTTCCTTGCATATTCTGGCTATCAGTTTCTTACCAAATATATGATTGCATATCTTTTATCCTATTCTGTAGGTTGCCTTTTCATTCTGCTGATTGTTTCCTTTGATGCACAGAACTTTCTAAGTATGATGAAGTCCTATTTGTCTATTTTTATTTTTGCTTTTATTACCTGTGCATTTGCTGTCATATCCAATAAATAATTGCCAAGTTCAATGTCATGAAGCTTTTCTCCTATGTTTTCTTCTAGGAGTTTTATATTTGGGGTCTTATGTAATCCATTTTGAGTTAACTTTTGTATATGGTGTAATGTTAGTGTCCAACTTCATTTTTTTTGCAAATGGCCATCCAATTTTCCCACTACCATTTGTTGAAAAGTCTGTCTTTTCCCCATTGAGTGGTCTTGACATCCTTGTCAAAGATCATTCAACCATGTACACAAGGGTTTATTTCTGGGCTCACTATTCTGATGTCTTTATGTCTATACCATACTGTTTTGATTATTATAGCTTTATAGTGAGCATTGAAGTCAGGAAGTCTGAGGCCTCCAACTCCTTTCTTTTTCAAGATTGTCTTGACTATTTGGGGTCCCTTGAAATACCATATGAACTTCAGGATGGTTTTTCTACTTCTGCAAAAAATGCCATTGAGGTTTTGATGGGAATTGCTTTGATTCTGTAGATCATTCTGGCAGTACTGACATTAGCATTAGGTCTTACAGCTCATGAACATGGATGTTTTTCCATTTATTTGTGTCTTCTTTATTTCAGCAGTGTTTTGTAGTTTTCAGTGTACAAGTCTTTTGCCTCCTAGGTTAAGTTTATTCCTAAGTATTTTATTCTTTTTGATGTAAATGGATTGTTTTTGAATTGCTCACTGTTAGCCTGCTTTGATTTTGAATGGGATCATCTCTGGCCTTGAGATGCACACCACAAAGCCTTGTCCCGGAGATGGGACCTTCTCAGTTTCTCCCTCCGTGCCCCTCTGCTGGCTCCTGTGTCCATCTCAGGTTACAGGTAGGGACCACAGGCAGGCAGCTTTCTAGGACCACAGGAAACTCAGAGGAATCTTGGGTCCTTCTACCTGTACCTTCCTGTAGCCATCTTGCCTCTTGAGTGTACATGCCATGGCAGGACAAAGACTGCTGAGAGCCTGTGCACCCTGGGCTCTCAGACAGGAGGAGGCAGGTCCCCTCTGTTAGCTGGGGTTCTCTCCCACCATTCGAGGGAAGCCTGATGATGGAGAATGGGTGGCAGGGCACAGGGCCTGGGCTCTTCCTAAAGACCCACACCAGCACCTCATTTTGTTGCTCTCACTGCTTTCTCCCTCAGCATGGAGAGATTTTGAAAAATCTTGTCCCTGATGGAGAAACAGAGTCAGCCAACATTCTTCCCCAAATTTTCTGTCTCATATCAGTCCAACTGTTTAAAGATAAAAGAAAAAAATGTGAAGGCACTACCATCTATTTCTGCAGAATTTTCCACTTGGAGCAAAGGCCACCCAGTGTGCCACTCAGCCCAGAGGCCTGTGCTTCGGGGCTAAGGGGGGCGGGACCACTGGAGTTCTTTCTTCACCAGGCAACTCCTTCCTGGCTCCCCCTGCCGCGGGCCTTTGAGCTGATGGAGGAGGACCTTGAATCAGGGTTAGTTCTCAGAGTGGGTCCCGAGACCCACAAAGTCAAAACTATTTCATAGTAATACTAGAATATCCTTCACATTTTCCTTGTAGGCGTGTGCACTGGGGTTCTCTAGAAGCTGCATGACACATCACAAGGGATTGAATGCAAAAAACAGGAGGATCCAGCTGTCTTCTATTAAGCTATGAAAGATAAGTGGATGCTACTCTTCATTAAGGTTTCTTTTTGTTATGCAAAATAGTTATTTCACTAATATGTTATTAACATAAAATATTTATTAAAGGAAATTGATACATCAATATTTCTCAAAAATTCTCAGCTGTAATTTCTAAATAGGATAGAATTCCCTCACATAACAAAAGACATTTGGGGACCTCAGTAATTGCTATGAATGTCAAGGTAGCCCGAGACCAAAAAGCTGGAGAGCCGCTGCCCCTTGGAGGCTTCTGCTTGCATCTGGGGCTTTCAGTTCAACTGTCCTTCAACCACTTCCCCTCCTGGCTGCTCCATTTGCCTGGAATGTCCCCTTCTGTTAGCTCCCAGCTAGGATGGCCACGCGAGGGCAGCAAATTCCGCCTGGAGCCACCGTGGGAACCTCAAGCCCAGGTTTTAACGGTTGAACCTGCAGCACTGAATTCCTGAGGGCGCTATAGCCAGTGAGGGGTGCTGTAGCTGGTGGTGCTGGAGAAGCAAAGAGGATAAACCCAGGTCCTCACCTGTACAAGGTTCAGGCCCCCGAGGGCCCCACATGGTGAGCTGAGAAGGCCCGGGCCAGAGATTGACGCACAGCAGCAGCTGACATGTTCAATGGGTGAATCCTGATGCCATGCTGATGTCTCAGCTGAGCTAAGAAGCCTGCTCTCCAGGTTCTCAGGCTTAACCTGTAAGTGTTAGTGCTTACTACCATTGCCTGCAAGGAAAGGGCACCCTAACTCCTCACTGTTAAGTAGCTGCCATTCACCATGCACGGGAGTGATAGGGCGAGAGAGCGAGCAAAGGAATTCCACCTCCCCTTTTGTCTCTCATCTTGGATGAAGGTGGAGGTAAAGGGCATGTGTGAAGTTTCTGAAACCAGGGCCTCATTATTCATCATTCCTGGACATCTCTAGCAATGGGAAAAGCCTCGTGGTCATTTAACATGGATAATCCCCTTACTTACTATAGCCAGTGGTCCATAAGATCTATGTTTGCAAGACAAATCTTCAAGCCCCAAGTCTCCTGGCTCCTGGACTGTGTTCTTTCCTTTTTACTATAATGCTAACCCCACATTGGTTTTTCTTTTTCCTAAATATTCACCATCATATTCAGGCAACCCAATGATAAACAAAAAAAATTAGCAGTTTTTACCTAAATATGGCTTTGGTTAACAGCAGGGCTTTGAAGGGGCACACAACGTTTTATTTCTAGTTCCACCACATGTACGCTCTGTGACCTTGCATGAGTTACTTAACCTCTGAGTCTTTGCTCAACTGTAAAAAGGGGATGATGATGTCTAGGGTTGCTATGGGGATCATATGGCATTAGGTGTCTAAACAGGGGCTCACAGTGCTCTATGAACAGTAGCTGTGAACTTTACCACATTTGAAATTCACAACTTTTTCAGACATCAGCATCAGAAACCATCTCAGAAGTCATCTAATGCAATATTTTCCTAAAGTGTGTTCAAAGCTCTCTTCCCTCAAGTTGTTCAATGAAAAAGGGTTCAGAGGCCAAGAATGATGGGAGGTTTAAAATTCAAGGTAGTGTATTACAGGCTCAGAGAAGTCAGAGAGAAACCTATCAGGTGGATTATTCCAGCATTAGTCAAACTGATTTGACCCAGAATCTTCTCACCTGTCTTTTAGCTTCCACATTGCTAATATCAGCACAACACATCCTAACTCTCACCCAGTGCAGAAATCTGTCCAGTGATTCCTCCCTTACGCGATCATGCAGACTCTGCTAGTATCTGGAGGCAGGGAGCTTGATCACCATGAGCAATCTTAACACCTAGTAGATAACATGATGGAGGGCTTGCCATGTACCAGGAGCTGTGACAAGCATTAGGCATGTATTAACTTATAAAATTCTTATAATAGTTAGTCTCTCCTTTTATGGGTGAAGAAACTTATGCTTAGGGGAGCAAGCTATGTAACTTGCCCAACAAAGTACCAGAATACAAACTCAGGTTGACCTGACTCTGGAATCCAGCCTTCCCACCATCTGTACTGCTTCCTGCAGCCTCTGTGTCACCTCTAACTGCTGGAAACTCTTTCCTTGTATTGAGCTGAAACATTTCCAGTCACTCCCCTTTCTCCTGGGTGCAAACACACCCAGGAGAAAGTTTCAGCTCTAATATCCTGTTCACCATTGTTTCTAGACCTTTATCCATTCTACTCCTTTTTCTCTTGACTTACGCAACAGTCAAACTAAACACAATTCCATTATTCCACCATAATATGAATTGCATTTTAGAAAATCACACATTATCAAAAAACATAAGAATTTTTTTTAGAGAGTTTCTTATCTAAGAACTCTTTTTAAGACAGTGTTAGGGGATAGAAAGTTTTGGATGTACAGTATTTTTCCTGCAAGAACTTTGGTAACAATGCTGTTTTTCATAGCTCTGGTGATATTGCTATAAACCCTCAGACATCACTGGATCACCTCCAGCTTTTGCTCAAGGGTAAGTCTCCCTACCCCCTCTATAGCAGTGCCATGTGAACACAGTTTCTCACCCGTCTCTCCACTTTTATTGCTGTATGACTCATTGTTTGGTAAACAAGGCACAAAGCCACTAAAACCTAG